TAAGGTGTTTTTGGCATGAAAAAAACGACATAGTAATTGGAAGGCGTTTTTAGCCGAAAAAAACGAGTCGTTTTTTTCGTCAAAAAAACGCCTTGCTATACATGGTCGTTTTTTTCAGCTAAAATTGCCTAAGGCGTTTTGGCACGAAAAAAACGACATAGTATAACATATTATAGTAAGGCCAAAAACGCCTTACTATACATGGTCGTTTTTTTCAGCTAAAATTGCCTTACTATACATGGTCGTTTTTTTTCCGAGTTAAAAACGCCTGACTAAACATGGTCATTTTTTTTGTCTAAAAACGCCTCACTATATATCATGTCCCAAAGTGAATTTGACCTGGTCTCCTTACTATACATGGTCGTTTTTTTTCGAGTTAAAAACGCCTGACTAAACATGGCCATTTTTTTGTCTAAAAACACCTCACTATATATCATGTCCCAAAGTGAATTGGACCTGGTCTAAAAAAAAAAAAAATAGCCTCCCTCACGTGGCAATATGGGGTCACGTCTGCGTGTGATGCTCTGCGGCTCATCAGCATTAATGGTGACTCAGGTTACTGTCAACACACGATGACGCGTGATGATTCTTGATGTCCTCACTCTCATTCGCTTTCTTCTTCCCACTGGAAAAGTCACCTTTGGCCCAAGAAAAATGGCAAAAACGCATCCGGACTGTTGTCGACGACTTTCCGCGCACGCCACAAATCTGCGTTTGTCTGTGATGCGACGACAAAAGGCCAAGAGCGGCGCCGCTGCAGGGAAGGATGGAGGGATGCGAGACGAGCAGATGGAAGCGGCGGCGGAAGGGGAGCAGCGGGGCCTGTCAGACTATTAAAGTCATGGCGTGAGCCCCCCGCGGGCTCCCTGGCGAAACGGGAGACCAGTGGAGATATTTAGCAAGGTGCTATCAACACGTTCACATGCACCTGCACACTCTGTATCCCACGAGTACTCTTAAATATTTTTGAACACACAATTTCGACTGTACATACCGCTGTGGCAGGGCATTTTGGGGGGTGAAATTGAAAAAAAATGTGTTGAGCATACTGCGCATAAGACAGCGTCTCGAAATAAACCACTCCGGGGTTTCATTCCTTTATTTCCAAAATATCGTAAAATGGTGTTTCGAAGAAACAACCAAGTCGTCTTTTTATTCAGCCAGTGCATAATTCACAATACAAAACAAACAGGCAGAAGCAGAAATGTCATCAAGGCCAGCCAATTTAAAAAAAAAAATCCAAAATAGTATTTAATTCCGCTGGGGGGGGGGCACATTTACAATCTTCCAAAAAATAGCTCTGTGATCAAGCACTTGAAAAAATAAAGCAATTCTCAATTGCTCCAAGTTTATCCTTTTTATATAAAATGTGTTTTTGTTTGTTTTTTTTTTTTTTCATCTCTGCTGGTAACGTTCCCAAAAACGTACATTGATTATACATCAAGGAGCAGTCAAATGATTCAACAGATGGTGTCACTCACATGATGGCAAACAGCATCCGGATGCAGATGATGTGCAGTTCTTTTTTTTGTTCCCATCAGGAGGCTGGCTACTGATGTTCACGACCTACCCCCAAAAAAAAAAAACAACAACTACTAAAAGCGTGAATACTTTCACGGCGTCAACGCTAACCAAAATGAAGCATGATGAAATACCTGAAAGCTTGGAAGCAATTAGCATTCACGTGCCGATCTTGGCGACCTTTCTCACTCAGCTCATTTCCGACGTGTCGGTCTGTCGGCGATGGTCCCAGAGGTCGGCCCCGCCTTTTGACCTTTGACCCCATCGCAGTTCCAGCTGCAAAAAGAGTGCGCCGTATCCGAGGTGGCACGCAGACCCAAAACCAACATGTCGTCATATTGTTTGCAACGTTGAAGCGCAAGAAAACAAACATCACTCATGCAGGTGAGCCACTCCGGGCCAGAAGGTGGCAGTAATGTACCTGACAAAAAAGACGAACCTCAAAACAAAACATCTCCCCCCCCCCGCCCACCAAAATAATCAAATACATGAACTGCGCATCTGTGACAGTCGTTAGCATTCGAGCAGCCATTTTGAAAATGCAATGACACCCTTTGGCCGAAAAAAACGATCATGTACAATAAGGCGTTTCTGACCCGGAAATAAGGTGTTTTTACTTACTTGTACTTGTTGCGGCCTTCATCCTTGGCTCGCACGATGGCAGTAGATCGCGAAATCAAGAAGGAGTTTCATGGGAATTTATCGAAAAGCCGTGTCCCCAGCCCTGCTTCGAGCAGAGCTTTCTGTTGGCCGGGCAGGTCAGCAGTTCACCCCACCACCATGTTGAGGTCAAAGGTTGGAATATAAGCGGGGAGGAAGTCAAGCGTTTTTGGCCCGAAATAAACGACCATGTATAGTCAGGCGTTTTTGGCCGGAAAAAAAAACGACCAGGCGCACCGGATTTTAAGGCGCGCTGTGAGCTTCCAAGAAAACGGAAGACTTTTCGGAGCGCGTTATAGTGCGGAAAATACGGTACATCTATTTTAATTGACCACTTTTAAGAGGAACTTTTGTTTTGTGTTCAATAAATTCATCAGTGAAACAGTTTCATAGTAACGTTCATGATCATTTTTATTTATTTTTCTAGAAGTTTTCGTAAAAAGATGTTGAAAATACTTTATTTTACACGGTATATTAGCTAAAAGAATATCAGCCAATGAACCAATTTCAGGAGAAATAATCATGCAGTGATGGACTAAGTGTGAATCTGTGGGCTCCCTCTAGTGGTACTCCAGAGAATCACTGCCTGTTCTTCATGCTCGACACTTTAAAAGAATCATTATATAAATATAGTTTGGTTTTGTTTTGAAACTACATTTACACACAGCGTTACTGCAATAAAATAACTGTCTATGATGGTGTCCCGCAAGGTGTCGGTGCACTTTTTATTAGAGGGAGGAGGAGGAGGAGGAGGAGGCGGGCATTTTGACAGTTTGGCTCGTGTCGCAAATTCAAGTTGCTAAATAAAACTATTAAGGCACAATACCTTGCAGGCAGGCCAACAAAAAAAAAAAAATTAAAAAATGAGTTTGCTGTACCCGCCGCTGGAAGAGTTCACCTTATCTGCCCGTTGCATGAGCGCGATAAGCGTGAATGTTGTGATGATAGCACATTGAAGAAACACTGACTGAATCATAATTAAGTGTATCATTGTGTCCTCCCCAGCAACGACTCTATCTGATGGCGCATGAATGCAGTTTTATTTGACTCGAGAGTGCGAACGATGTACAATCGGGGGGGTGGGGGGGGGGGATGACACTGGCGGCTGAATACCCTTTTATCTCAAATCGGCTTTGTCCGTTGACATGAATGGAAATGACATTCTTTAAAAGCTCCATTTTTCATTTTTAATCACAAAAGTGGCACTTTTTAGCAACCGGAAACATACACCAACGGCATCATTAAATAGAATAAATACCGTATTTTCCGGACTATATTAGTTTTTTTTCATCGTTTGAGTGACTTGGGTGAAATAACACATTATATTCATTTCACTTGTTATTTTCACATTAAACCACAAGAGGGCGCTCGAGGGCTGTGTTGGTCAGTCGACGACGACTGACGTAAGCGACGTAGAAGACGAAGCGCCGCCAAGCATGAAGATTTCATTGGATTTTATTTATCTGTCATTGGATGGAGTAACAGTGATGGTTTGGTAAACTTGTTAGCATGTGCTTTACGCGATCGTTATCTGAATAACTCTTAAGACGTGAACATACCGGGCACGTTCTGCGTCATGTAACGTTAGCATATCGTACACTTATTCAGCGTCCGTTTTATTTTTATTTGAAATTGCCTGTCAAGATGACATTGGTGTTGGGTTTTATCAAACAAATTTCCCCCAAAAATGCGACTTATACTCCTGACTTATATGGGTTTTTTTTCTTCTTTATTATGCATTTTACGGCTGGTGCGATTTATACTCCAGAATGATTTATAATCCGGTCAAGCGTCAGTTAAGGTGCTGTTTTTAAGGCAAATGCTAATTTCAATATTTCGCAGAAAAAAAAATCCGATTATCGATTAATCGGGCAATTAATTTAAATATATATAATGAATAAAAACATTTTGGGGTCCCTTAATGCTTACAACTTTGAAGAAAATCATCACAGGCGTTCCGGAACGCTTGACTGTTTCACAATAATTATTCCATAACTTTACGACAGGTAGAAGTGAGCAAAGAGCAAATACGGTCCGATTAATCGGTCGGTCCCGACTTTCAATACGTGACGTGCGCGCCGCACAAGCACTCACCTGGAAACGGGAAATAAAATGTCACCGTTCAAGCTATTTTCAGCACCATTGCGGAGTACAAAAGCAAGACATTCCCTCCATTGTCAAGAAACGAGTCGAGCAACAGGAGTCACATTTAAATCAATGACTCATTAAAATCAAAGCAGTAAAGCCCGTTTAATGGCGATGGAGCAGATGAATCATTTTAACTAGTGGAATGAAGGCGCTCGTAAAGCGCTACAGTGCAAATGCACAAGAGCTCCGATTTGTTCCGGAGCGCTCATCTCATCGCGACTTCCCGACTTTCCGATCAGGTGGTCGGCGGTCGGTAATTGGACGCCGGTGTCGAAACGGCGGCACGTGAGCTCAAAACGTTTTTTTTTTTTTGTCGCCTGCGTGCAACGGGAGGGAAGAAATCAAGCAGTTCATGTCATGTTGAAAAAAAGTGAGCAGTTGGCGCAAACCACATAACATTTTTCCGGAGTATTTTTCGGATTTTCGGAAAAAAAAAAAAAAAAATCCATCGAAAAAATAGGTTTCTGCCCGGCAACAGCGCAAGATACAAGAGCGTCATGGCAAATTCCGCCTCCCATCACATTTTTTTTTGTTTTTAGGACCACCACCCGCAAAAAATAAAACATCAAACGTTCAATCTCGCGTCCGTGGGCTGACTTCGCGAGGTCATGTGAAGGGTACAAACAACCGAGTGCCGTGGCCGCGCGCTCGCGGCGGTGTGTTTGACTTGAGACGTCCCCTGGGTGTCGTCCGTCAACAATGTCCCTGGCGGGATCGAAAACAACGCGTCCGTCCGTCCGTCCGTCATCTGCAGCTGACGCCGGATTTTTTTTTTCTCTCAAATTGATTTTACGGGGTGGTCTGCATAAACGTGCGTATGGAGCACGCGCCGTCTCCGGGCGGCAGAAAATAAGGAAGTAAAAATCGACGTCAGGCGACCGAGCGAGGCCGGCGTGTGCACTTAACGTTCGACTCTTTGCTTCAACTTGGGTTGTTAACCGTCGACCGGGGCGGCTTTGTTCTGTCTTCTCGTGTCTTCTCTTTTTATTTGGCGCCGCAAAACTCAACGTTGCGGGATGGTCGATGCTAAAGTAGCGTTAAAAGGCAGAATCATTTCTCGATGAAATGTACTGATGCGCTTTTGATCCTGGTTCTGCTTTGATCAGATGAGATACTTCCACTCATTGTTGTCTTTAGGCAGGGGGGGCTGGAGGGGTGTCAACGTTTTGTTTTTGGCCTTGGAAAAAGGTACAAACAGTTGCCGTGGAATGCCGTAATTAGTCTTAAGGGACACATTCCTTGCAGCTTGAAGAACAGAAATTGCCTCAGCCATTTCGAGCCATAAAACAACCTTTCCCGTCTCCTCGGCCAATTATAAAGCATGGCAACCTTGGGTTGGCGTCGTCGGGGTTAAAA